TTTCATAACCCGACACATACAACAGAGCGTCGCGGGGCGCGCGGCGGAGGCGGCGTGGGTCCGGGCGAGGACCAGCGGGGTGCGATACGAAGAACCTAAATAAACGACAACAGAGATCAAGAAAGCCTGACAGAGTCGTTTATTACATACTAGCTGTACTACCCGGCTTCGCCCGGGACTTGTATCCACCACGACCGGCCGCCTTTGTCTCCCCAGTGGCGATGTTAATACGCCACACCAGTTACTCGTTTTGAGGCAGAGTCCCTCCCTCACCACTCTGCCTCCCTCACCACTCTCCCTCCCTCACCATTCTCCCTCCCTCACCACTCACGCCCGGCCGCCTTTGTCTCCCCAGTGGCGATGTTAATACGCCACACCAGTTAATCGTTTGAGGCTGAGTCGACCTAGGGGAGGTTCAAATAATCGTCTCCCGGTGGTGGCCGTGAGCGGGAATCGAACTCGGTTCGCCGGCTTTGTAGCGCAGCGTAGCGTTAACCACTACACCCACCGCTCCTCACACACCACACACGCACAGACACACACACAGACACACGCAGACACACACAGACAGACACACACAGACACACAGACAGCACGCTAACCACTACACTACCGCTCCCCACACACCACACACGCACACACACAGACACACACACAGACACACAACACAACAACAACCGCCATTCGCCACTAAGTGGCGGTGACGTCACCACGATGCTTGTGCCAGGCCAAGTGCACCTTGAGGCCACGTGAAGTGTCGAAAGCCTGCTGGCAGGAGGTCACAGGGCAGACCCAGGTGCCACGGGTCGACTGACCGAGATGACCGAGATGACTGGCTGATGCACCACCTGTGCCCCCTACTGTGCCGACTTGCTGTGCTTTAGCCACCCGGCGCTCCGCTCGTTGTTGTGAGCGTCGCTCCTCCGCCCTCCGTTGTTGTTGGAGGGCGACTGCCTCCAACTGCCCAGTAGCGTCCTTCACGAGCCTCCTCCACTGAGGCCGATCTTGACACCGCTGGTACCAGTCATCGGCAAGTCCACTCAGCTCCACGTCCTCCTGTACCACATCACTCCATCTCTTCTCCAGCCCGTGCCGCGCCCGTCTAGCCCCCTCGATCCGGCCGAACAAAAGCTGTTTAGGCATGCGGTGGCTGGGCATGCGGGCTACATGACCCAGCCAACGCAGCCTTGCCTGCCGGAGGAGCTCACTGATGGGACTTTGCCCAGATCTTTCAAGGATTTGTGAGCTCCTCACACAATCCAGCCTGGTTAAACCCAGGATGGATCGTAGGCAGGCCAGCCTAAATGTTTCCAACCGGCGAAGATGCTCCACCAGGGGGGTCCACGTCTCGCAAGCGTAGAGAAGGGAGGGAATGACCGTGGCCGAGAAGACCTGAAGCTTCGTGCGGAGCGACAGACCAGGTAGCTTCCACACAGCGTTACGCAACCGATGAAAAGATATTGCCGCTCGACTGATTCGGAGTGAGACCTCTGCTGATAGACTGGAGCCGGTCATAAGCACACTGCCCAGGTATGGGAAACTCTCCACTCTCTCCACAACTGCCCCATCACCAATTGGGAGTTGTGGGGGTGGAGTGTCCGATGGTACAAAATACCCAGGCAGGTGCTTAGTTTTGGTGGGGCTGATGGTAAGGCCCCACCTCTTAGTGGCACGCTCCAGTCTCAGCAGCAGCGTCTCCAACTCCTCTTCTGAATGAGCAGCTATTACCAAATCATCGGCATACATAACATGGTTGACCAATAGGGAGCCATCCCTTGATCGCACCCGGGCGTCGATCAGCTTCCCATTATATCTGTACCAAATGGAAATTCCCCCGGTACAGCTATTGAAGGCTTCACGAACTACGCGGTCAAAATAGATGTTAAATAATGTGGGAGCCAGAGGACATCCCTGTCACACCCCAAGGTGTACAGGGAAAGGCTCCGACTCCCGGCCACGTAGTTTTACCTGGGCCTGCTCACCATCATGAAGGTCCTTAATGATCGTGAACAGAGGGTCAGGGACTCCGAAAGCACGAAGAACAACCCAGAGCCCAGTCCTACTGATGGTATCATAGGCCTTGACCAGGTCAATAAAGCAGAGATGTAGGTCTTTTTGGAATTCCCTACACCTCTGCTGTAGCAGACGGACAGAAAATATGGCATCTGTGCAGGACCGCCCTTTCCTGAAACCGCATTGGGGCTCCGCAAGCCTCTCCTCAGCGTGCCTAGCAAGGCGATGTTGAATAATCCTTGCCAGGACCTTACCCGGCACACTGAGGAGTGAGATGCCCCTGTAGTTGTTACAGTCGGTACGGTCCCCCTTCTTAAAGAGGGGGACCACCAGGGCATCCTTCCAGTCCTGCGGAACCCGTCCAGTGGTCCAGACTGTTGTTATGATGTCATATAGGGCAGTCTGTGCACAAACGCCACCCTCCCTCAGCATTTCGCTTGGGAGATCATCTCTGCCCGATGCCTTCCCTGGTCTCAGACTCCGGATTGCCCTCAGTACTTCCTCAACAGCTGGCACCTCAGCCAGCCACTCACAGGGGGTGACCTCTTCCAATATTTGAGGCACCGCAGCCTCAGCAGGGTTATCACCACTTTGTGCCATGATGTTTTCCTGGCTGAGAGAATTTCCCTCCCCCAGGACCTCACAGAAATGCTCAGCAAATCTGCAAACCTGTTCCTGGGGGTCGGAGATTGGATCACCCTTTTTTCCTCTAATGATGGTAATAGGTGTGGCGCTGCAGGTTACTTTTTTGATGGAGTTAAATAGTGATTTGTGATCACGGGCCACTGAGGCAGACTCCATCTCCTCAGCAACCCGCGACCACCACCCATCCTTACAGCGCCTTACGGCTCTCCGAACTTCCGAGCGAAGGCTGCGGTAAACCTCCTCATTCTCTGACGTGGGATGCTGTAGGCGATGAGAGTGGGCCTGACGCTTTTTCTCAATTAACCTGAACACCTCCTCTGTCAGCCAGGGTTTCTGGGGAGGTCTGGACCGCGTACCCAAAGCAGCCATTGCAGCTGCATGAGTCACAGTCTTAAACCTCGCCCATTTCCCCTCGACATCAGGTGGAGTAGGGGACGATGCCAACCCCAGCTGCAAGCGATGATGAAATTCTCGCTTGCAACTTTCATCAGCTGAGACCAGGCCACTTTTGGTTGGAATGGGATCCTGGGTGTACACCCACCACCGGAGTGGAAGAAAGGCAGGCGCATCTTACAGATGACTAGTCGATGGTCAGAGGACAGATCAGCTCCACGGTAGGTCCTGGTGTCAAGGACATGGGTTCGCATCCGCTGGTCCGTCACTATGTAGTCCAGCAGATGTTCTTGCTTGGACCCGACATGTATCCATGATGTTGTGTGGATGCGCCGATGCCGGAAGAGCGTGTTGGTAATTACAAGCCCATGGGCTGCACAAAAATCTAGCAGCCTCCTACCGTTATTATTGAGCTGATCTGGCCCATGCCTTCCAATCACTCCAGACCAGGTATCAGCATCATGACCAACTCGGGCATTGAAGTCACCCAACAAGATGACTCTGTCCCGAGTGGCCACTTTAGCCAGCACCTGTGACAGGAGGTCATAGAAAGAGTCTGACTCATCGGCTTTGCCTGCATCCCTCCACGGATGTTCGTCTTCGGTGGGGGCATAAGTAACCACGATCACCACTCCTCGCCTCTGGTTGATGGGAAGGCGAGCCCAAAGTATCCTGGGGCTTACAGCTTCCCACACCTCACCGCCACGCTCCCACGCCCCCTTCATTCTTTTGTTCAGAAGAAGAGCCACACCCTGTTGTTTGGCAGTCTCCTGCCCCGAGTAGAGGACTGTCCACCCCTCATGGTGGCAGGAGCCAGAACCGGTCCACCGGACCTCCTGAATGCCACAGAGATCCAGGCGGTACCGGTCCAGCTCCCGACAGAGGAGTGGCAGCCTCTCCTCCGCAGTGAGCGTTCGAACATTCCAGACACACACACACAGACACACACAGACACAGACAGCACGCTAACCACTACACTACCGTTCCCCCTACACAACACGCGCGCGCGCGTCCATAGGTACACATACACGCGCTTGCTGCAGACACACACGACTGTGAGGGTGCGTACGGCAGTAAACGACTGAAAGAATAAAGCGGAAATGCTGCGCGAGGAACGCCTTAGAGCTGCAACACATTTGTGTAATGCGAGCGTAAACACACAAACACATACAAAGACATACACACACATACATGCACACACATACACACAAACACACACATACATACACAGAGACATACACATACACACAAACACACACATACATACACACAAACACATACACAATACACACACACATACATGCAGACACACAGACAGACACATAACACACATACATACACACACACATACACAGAAAAACATACACACACATAGATACAAACACACATACATACACACAAACACATACACACACGTACATACACACATACATACAGACACGCAGACATACACATAAACACATACAAAAACCGACATACATACACACACACATAAACACACAAACACACACACATACATACACACATACATAGAGACACACAGACATACACATAAACACATACACACATAGACATGACCCGGCTTCGCCCGGGACTTGGATCCACCACGCCCAGCCGCCTTTGTCTCCCGAGTGCCGATGTGAAAACGCCACACCAGTTACTCGTTTTGAGGCTGAGTCCCTCCCTCGCCACTCTCCCTCCCTCGCCACTCTCCCTCCCTCACGACTCTGTAGAGGACGTGAAACTTTTATGAATTTACCTTAGATTCGCGTGGTGGGTGTCGAGGCCTAGCACCGTGCAGAGCCTCCCGCCTCGCCTGATTTTCCCACCCGGCTGACGCTGGGTACGGGTGCCGGTCCCCCCCCCCCTAGCGCTTGAACAATACTGAGTAATGGCTATTATTTAATTAATTACGGAGCCTATGAAAGTGGTGAAGGCGTGGCTAGCCGTTGGCAGGGGCAACCGCCGTCCAATGAAACTGCAGCCCTTGGCGAAGGCGTCGCTAGCCGTTGCCAGGTCCAATGAAAGCGGCGAAGGCGTCGCTAGCCGTTGGCAGGGGCAACCGGCGTCCAATGAAAGTGCGTATGGTCCGGAGACACACAGACACACAGACAGACAGACAGATTCACGATTTTATATATTATATATGTATGCGAGTCCATGTGTGTGCGTGGGTCCATGTGTGTGTCTCTTAGTCGATGTGTGTAAATCCATGTGTGCTTAGGTCCATGTGTGTGTGAGAGTCTACGTGTTTGAGTCGCTGTATGTGTGTATGTCGATTTGCGTGTGTAACTCAATGTGTATCTGAAGCGAATGTCTGTGCATGTGTGTCTAAGCCCATGTGTGTGTGTGTCTTTTTCACCCAGGCAACGCCGGGTACTTCCCGCTCATACTCTTATATCAGCGCACTTCATCTATCTGTGATGAACGCTGCACTTTCCATCGTTTTCATGCAGGGGGCGCTGCAAACCTACGCGCCCCCTGCATGAATGACGGAGGCGCAGGGACAGACGTTAGCTCACGTTGGAATCGATCTGGAGACGGCGGTTTTCTGGCACGGTCAGCTCTATGTCGCCTCATCTCCACCCTGCAATCCCAACCAGGTGAAAGTCCGCATCGAACCGAACCCCGGTAAGGCCATCTACTTAACGACTAGAGAAAATTCACGCGAAATGTTTTCAATGAAGGCTTCCAGATGTAAAATTATATAAGCTTTAATGAAGAAATAAAATTATCTAATTCAAAACGGAGCATCGGGAGTTTGCGTGGATGCGTCGTTCGTGCGCAATTTTTTTCGTGACTTTCCTGGCCCAAGGCCGTAAATGGTTGTGAGGGGGCTGTAGGCGGTCAGGCTTGCTTCAACCCATGGTTGTGAACATCCAGACGTTAATCGGCAAGGACCATTTTTTGTCCTAGTTCGCCAACATATAAGACGTCATGCAAATTTCGAATGAGTGTTGTGTGGAGAATGTATCTACTAGATGTGCTCTGCCTTGTAACCTAATACAAATCTGTACCAAAAATGCATTTCAAATGTGCTCTTAAAATTACCCCCTAGCTATGAAGCAGACCAGCAGACACGACATCTTTCATTTATCGATCTCTCCACGAAACAAAGGAATGTTTTACACAAACTATAACTAGCACAGTCTTCTGGGAGTGCATCATTGATTCAATGCAAGCCACCTGTGGAGCCTTATTGGTGCACAGCGTCTCAAGAGCAGCCGGGCTTGCTTCAACCGATAGTTACGAACATCCAGACGTTAATCAGCAAGGGGCATTTCTCGTCCTAGTTAGACAAAATCTACGTCAACACGTAAAACACAATTATAATTCGTGTTGTAGAGAATGTTCCTCTACGTGTAACTTTTGAGTGGCATTTTCTTCTAGATTTGAAGCTTCCGTGACTGCAAGGATTCATAATCTTAGGTTTTTTCGGTAAAGTCACGTAGGTGTGTGCTCCCTATTTCAAAGACAATGAGTTGCTCCAGAGGCAGACGCTTCCTAAAAACACAAAAATACCCTTTGACCTGTATCAGAAGAATGGGTCTCACCCGAGTTATCATTACAGGTTATTCCAAAACACTCTTTGTCCTAACATCACTTATTCAATATTTGACCCTTATAGACAAAATGTTACATGTACGCAATCAATCATTCAAGTATTCATTCTAAATTATGGAGTCATTTTAACAAAATTGAATTACTGCACTGAAATATACTGCAACAGGTTACATCGTATTAACAAGAAGCTATTTAAAAAAACAATATGCACCGTCTGCTTAACAGTTTATGTACAACATACTATTGCGCCATTCAAAACGAGTAGGCCATTGCATGCTGGCGTCTGGGTCAAAATTGAGCAAATTCCAAACAGGATCTTGTCCACATGCAGGCCGGTGCAGGGCCACCACCTTATGCCACACAGGGGCAGCTGCTACCTGGGGATGCTCTTCGAGTGTTTGAGACGATACGGTACAAAACTCTGAATTGCCGGGCGATTAAGCACCATATAAATGGAATTATTAGAACATAGTGAATGCTTGGGAGTGTATTGGTTCTCGCTCCTGGTTAGAGATCTACCCAACCCACACGTCCACAAACACTGGCCGCTCTTACCCTGCAAGTTGAACCTAGGAATTGATGGTTCAACTTCTTTCTTGTCATTAAAGGTCTGTGACAAAGGTGCATCTATTGGAGAACAATCGTCTCAAGCTTACACATCTACCGGGTCTCCATTTGACTTTGTATTGTCTCAGAGGAAGTCCACCCACACCTCCACTTCCACAAACTGCTGGGAGTTGCCTCGCTCTGCCTCACAGTGAGAATTCTCCTCCTGCTTCACGTTGCCTCCATCAATGTGAAGGTCCGATTTTGGAGTTGAATCTTCATCTTCACATTTTACCTTCACTTCTTCACTCTTCACCATCACTTCTTCACATTTCACCTCCTCATATTTCACCTCCTCATATTTCACCTCGATACCTTTAAAAGTGTCCAAGCTGGGATTTTCTTCCGGTTCTTGTTTCATGAGGGATGGGCTAATTGCGGCACTTTGACTTTCACAAGCTGATTTCAGACTCCACTCCTTGTGGATATTCTGATGCTTGTGTGTTCTCTGGTGTTTTTGAAGAATTTGTTTACGTGCAAACGCCGTCCCGCACAGAGTGCACCTGAAGGGTTTCTCTCCTGTGTGTGTTCTCTGGTGTACATGAAGAATTGATGAACGTGCAAACGCCTTCCCGCACAGAGTGCACCTGAAGGGTTTCTCTCCCGTGTGTGTTCTCTGGTGTACTACAAAAGCAGATGAATGTTTAAAGGCCTTCCCACACACACTGCACCTGAAGGGTTTCTCTCCCGTGTGTGTTCTCTGGTGTTCTACAAGAGTAATTGAATGTGCAAACGCCTTCCCACACACACTGCACTTGAAGGGTTTCTCTCCCGTGTGTGTTCTCTGGTGTTGTACAAGATTAGATGAAACTGAAAACTTCTTCCCACACACACTGCACCTGAAGGGTTTCTCTCCCGTGTGTGTCCTCTGGTGTCTTTGAAGATGTGGTGACTGTGCAAACCCCTTCCCACACACACTGCACTTGAAGGGTTTCTCTCCCGTGTGTGTTCTCTGGTGTGTTACAAGAGGAGATGAATATAAAAATGCCTTCCCACCCACACTGCACTTGAAGGGGTTCTCTCCCGTGTGTGTTCTCTGGTGTTCTACAAGAACAGATGACTGTGCAAACGCCTTCCCACACACACTGCACTTGAAGGGTTTCTCTCCCATGTGTGTTCTCTGGTGTAAATGACGATTTGATGAACATGCAAACCCCTTCCCACACACACTGCACTTGAAGGGTTTCTCTCCCGTGTGTGTTCTCTGGTGTTTTTTAAGAGTCGATGAACATGCAAACGCCTTCCCACACACACTGCACTTGAAGGGTTTCTCTCCAGTGTGTGTTCTCTGGTGTTCTACAAGAACAGATGACTGTGCAAACGCCTTCCCACACACACTGCACTTGAAGGGTTTCTCTCCCGTGTGTGTTCTCTGGTGTTTTTTAAGAGTCGATGAACGTGCAAATGCCTTTCCACACACACTGCACTTGAAGGGTTTCTCTCCCGTGTGTGTTTTCTGGTGTTCTACAAGAGCAGATGACTGTACAAACGCCTTCTCACACACACTGCACTTGAAGGGTTTCTCTCCCGTGTGTGTTCTCTGGTGTTCTACAAAAGTAGATGAACGTGCAAACGCCTTCCCACACACACTGCACTTGAAGGGTTTCTCTCCCGTGTGTGTTCTCTGGTGTTCTACAAGAGCAGATGACTGTACAAACGCCTTCTCACACACACTGCACTTGAAGGGTTTCTCTCCCGTGTGTGTTCTCTGGTGTTCTACAAGAGTATATGAACGTGCAAACGCCTTTCCACACACACTGCACTTGAAGGGTTTCTCTCCTGTGTGAGTTCTCTGGTGCTGTGTAAAATGTTCAGGACGATCCGTGCTGTATGCACACCGGTCACATTGTTGCCGTTTTGCACCGAGTCGCGCCGAGTATCTTTGCTCCATCAGACCAATTTTGCAGAGGAAGCGACAGCTGCAGACAGAAAAAAAGAATATCCACACCATCTACACATCAGTATCGAGGCATAGAGGAATGCATATATATAGTCACACGTGACTTACACATCTATAGTTATTCATATTTTATGATATAGGCAAAAACGTGCCCCAAATTCATCACGCGAGCTGTTATGGCACACAATGAGAGGGCAAATGGTCATAAACATGCCTGGAAGCGCTCGTATCTTCAAAATGAATGTTAACCCAAAACTCCGAGCACACAATTTAGGCTGTCTGGCTTCAAAAGGAATATTTATGAAAGCTAAATTCAGCTGACATAGCAAAGGGTGTTGAAAAAAATTACTATTTGTGTTATGCAGATATGCATAAATTAATGTTCAATCACAACTTAGAGGTGTGAAGCCAGACACATATGTCCTTGAATGGAGGGATGAACAGTTCCGACGTCAGCTGCACGTGTGCTTTGATAACTTACTGACTCCATTCTTATAAAGACTTCCAGAGGAAAACTTAAATAAACTACTGTTTTGATATAACCTCCCTGCTCAATAGCATTAATAGACTTTACTGCAAATACAAACTTGACACTGTCACACACTCAGAGGCGGAGCCAGGATTTCAGGTAGGGGTCGCAACCCCTCCAGCAATGAAAAATGATAGGAGTTGTTAGTAAGGACTTGTCCCTTGCTTTTTATTCGACGCGTGTGATCGGCATTGCGCTCGCTGAAGGTGATGCCTTCAGGGAAGTCGTGTACTGTATACGCCACTTCGCACAATTCTGCGAGTGGTTTGTAACTGCTTTGCCGTTACTTATGTTGTCCTCTCATAGAGTCCCTGAAATGTAATAATTTCCCACACGATGGCAGTGGGGGTCGCAAAATGCCGATTTATCTAAATATATAAAAGGGAAATGTGTGGATACGTGTCTGTTCGAAATGTTTAGCATACTTCCCAACATGCCACACACTTGAAATTTTGCATGTGGGTAGGTTCCAAACTGTACACAATGCAAAAAGTATAAAAATAGACTTTTGTATTTTAGGGGGGGGGGGGGGGGGAATGACCATGAAGTGTGTGGCGTTAACCCGCATCACACCTGAGTTAAGCGGTCTGCAATGCTGTCTGGAATTTCTAAGTGAACGCGACTTTTCAGCTCGCCACGCCATTCCCTTTCCAAGTGGCCAAAATCGACCTTGCATAGAAGTGGATTAAGGTTGAATTTCCTTCAGTGAAAACATCCGATTTAGGTAACTTGATTTGTTTCAGCTTTTTTCTTTCTTGCAAGAATCAATTTTTTTCTGGGTGTTTCAGTGAAATATGAGGGAATATGAAATTTATCCAAGACAAGAATCCAAGTCCCGGGCGAAGCCGGGTAGTGAAGCTATATAATAATAAACCCCAATGATCCCATCGAAATTAAGGATTTCTATCGGATCGTGGGGGGGGGGGGGGGGCACGTGCCACCCCACCCCCACTGGCTCCACCACTGTCACACACTGGCATGGTTCACAGGTGGTGGTGTGTCCAGACTCACGCCTGGCCACCTTCACCTGCTCAGTATTAATGCTTCCTCACTCCACCAAGTAATTCATTGAGGATCAATCAACACAGCCGAGGCTGCGTGTCTCTCCCTCTCTCCCCGTGGTTGCATTGATTTCCTTCCCAATCGCCGGGTTTCCCCTCCACATGTAGAAAGTGAACACCACCACGCGTCCAGAGTGAACACCGCCACGCGTCTAGAGTGACCACCGTCACGCGTCTAGAGTGAACACCGCCACGCTTCTGAATACAAGAGCGGTACAGCAGCTCAAGCGGGCGTGGCCTGGTAAAAAATGAAAAAAAACTGTGAATATTGAAAATAAAATAAAGTTACAAAGTAGCGAGCCAGGTGAAGAGAAATTAAAACTTAAGCAAGATACTCTGGTTCTTTCAATAAAGTGATGTAGAAAAAAACATTAAATAGCATATGATGTTTCGATTGCAACACAAGCAATCATCATCAGGTACAAATGAAAGAGAAAACAAACCTAGGAAACTTAGAAATGTAATGCAATACAACACAGAATCGGCTAACATAACAGTCAACACCCCACATGGTTGATTATTGATTATGTTCTTCCAAAGATTGCTCAATTTGAGAGAGAGACAAAACACAGACACGGAGACACATAGAGAGAGATGACACAGAGACACACACATAGACACACAGAGAGAGATGACACAGAGACACACAGAGAGAGACACACACAGAGACACACAGAGAGAGACACACACACATAGACACAGAGAGAGATGACAGAGACGCACAGAGAGAGACACACATAGGCACACAGAGAAACAACGCCTCTGTGTATTGTATTACATTGCTATGTTTTTTTCTTTTTTACCTTTTCTTGTTTCATAGTGTGTAATGGCAGAGATTAGGGATTCATAAAGTACAACGCAATCATATAAACAGAAACCTATGCATTGTTATATGAAGACAAGTCCAGATTTTGTGGTCGAGGTTTAGCAAATTGTTTTTATTAACATAGCATCGCAATTATTAGTAAAAAAATATATTTTTATAGCAATATATTGGGGGGGACATTTTGAGCAAATTTAATTATTATAACATATTATAATTATTATAACATATCATTATTATAACATATTATAATTCTAACATATTATAATTATTACAACATATTATAATTATTACAACATATTATAATTAGGGCCTTGTGTCAATGAGAGATTTGGAGGCTTGGTGACTGCACTTAATCAAACAAACTTCGTAACATTTGAAATGTAATGCAATACAACACAGAGAGTCGGTCAACACACAATGAACGCATAGACTGGCTGATTGCGTTCTTCCACAGATTGCTAAACTAAGCGAGAGAATTGAAGCAAACGCGATCAGCCGAGGGCAGGAGGCAAGGCCCCGCGTTGTAAAGTTCCAACCTGGACATCGCTTCCATGCTCGCTGCTACTCAATTGACATCCCAACGAGAGAGAGAGCGAGGCTCTACCTCGGTAAACAACAACCACCACAACAACCACCACCACATCCACAACCACCACCACATCCACAACCACCACACAACCACCACCACAACCACCACCGCAACCACCACCGCAACCACCACCACCACCGCAACCACCGCCGCAACCACCGCCGCAACCACCGCCGCAACCACCGCCGCAACCACCGCCGCAACCACCGCCACAACCAACTCCACAACCACCACAACCACCGCAACCACCACCGCAACCACCACCACCACCGCAACCACCACAACCACCACCACCACCGCCGCAACCACCACAACAACCACCACCACAATCACCACAACAACCACCGCAACCACCACCGCAACCACCACCACAACAACCACCACCACAACAACCACCACCACCGCCGCAACCACCACCACAACAACCACCACAACAACCACCACCACAACAACCACCACCACCGCCGCAACCACCACCACCACCGCAACCACCACCACCACCGCAACCACCACCACCACCGCAACCACCACCACCGCAACCACCACCGCAACCAACATAACCACCACCGCAACCACCACCACCACAACCACCACAACAACCACCACCACCGCCGCAACCACCACCACAACAACAACCCCAACAACCACCATAACCGCGATGATAATTTCTCACCTCGTTTTTCAGTGCACGGGCGGAGCGACAACTTCCTGGTCCCTCGTGACGTCACGCGGCAGCAGGTGACATGACGTCACTTGCGGGGTACGATGACACTCCCCTCCCACAATGAGCGGCTCTCAACTCGCGACGGCTTTCACGAATACATTATGTTAATGAGCCGCCAGTTACCGGCCGAGCGGAGATGACGTCACGCTCAAGAGTGCGGTGGTGGGGGGTGGGTGACATGACGTCACTAGCAGGGCACACCTCCCCCTGGCGTTTGACGCCGATGAGGTCACGCTGAGCGGTGACGTCAGAGGGCGGGGTCGGAGTTCAAGTTTGTTGACAGAAGGGGAGCGGCAGTGTCGTGGTGAGCGCTGCGCTCCGCACCGACCAGCCGAGTTCCATTCCCGCTCGTGGCCAACACTGCCAGTGACGACTTTCTGAACCGGTCCTGAGCCTCCCCTACGTCGACTCAGCCTCAAACGAGTGCGGTGTGTCAACATCGCCACTGGGGAGATAAAGGCGGCCGGGCGTGGTGCTGGCCACCCACCCCCTCGTGTGCCGTCCCACCCTTAATAGGTGCTCGCTAACAGCACTTGCCCCTAGAGTCTGTTGCCTCCCTATCGCCGGAACCAGTCCATGTTTGCAGATGTGGCTCATGTCAGGCAGAGATTGCAACCAGGTGGTCCGTTGTCAACAGGTGCAATCACAAGAGCGGCGTCGGCCCAGCTGCAGACTCACGACTTGATGGATCTTGGGAGGGAAGATGAGCTGCTGGATGTTGGTGGCAGCAATGGAAGCCAGGACAGCAACATTGCCGCAGGTAGCACAAGTTATACTGGTTGGAACCTCCTGGTTACACCAGCCCACAGGGGATTATTGTGTCCGTCCGTCCGTCCGTCGTGCAGGAAGGGGCTGGGTGGGGAGAGAGGGGCTGGGTGGGGAAGGTGGGGAGGGGCTGGGTGGGGAGGGGCTGGGTGGAGAGGGTGGGGCTGGATGGGGAGGGGCTGGGTGGGAAGGGAGGGACTGGGTGGGGAGGGGAGGGTGGGGAGGGGCTGGGTGGAGAGGGTGGGGCTGGATGGGAGGGGTGGGGCTGGGAGGGGCTGGGTTGGGAGGGGAGGGTGGGGAGGGGCTGGTGGGGGGTGGGAGGGGTGGGGCTGGGTGGGGAGTGGCTGGTCACCCCGTGGTGCCCTTATAAAACTCAATGTTTAACCTACTCACGCCGGCTTGTGCCCTCCCTCACAGTCGGGCATATTTGCG